CATGTAGATAATGTACAAACTGCATTAAGCACAGTGCCTGGCACATTCAACAGATGTTAGCTACAAAGTCAGATCGAGAGGACAAAAAGTCATTCCAAATGGAATGATAATTAGCATATGAATTGCTTAGAATACAAACAATTACTGCTTGGAAAAATACTTGTTTTCTTCAATAGAATTTAAAAAATATTTCCTTGGGTTTTGTCTATGCCTGTTAGTAATAGAGCAAAAGAAACCCTCAGGCAGAAGATGTTTCAGAAAACACTGGTCAGGAACTAAGGAGCCTATGCTCCAGGCTCTGCTCTGCTGTGAACAGAGAGGGCAACAGAGGTACAAGAAGATCCTCCACAGGCATATTCTGTACCCCAACACTGCCCATCCCTTGGCTCCTATGCTTCCAGAGAGCTGAGGAAGGAACAGTCATTCTTGCCTCCACTGTCCTACTTGTGAAACATACTACAACATCCACCTTCTACTCCATCATTCTCTATCCCAAAGCTGAACAAATTGACTTTAGGCAAGCACAATCCCTGCAATTCACCAACCACCCACTGTTGGCAGCCACATACACACTCAAAAAAGTACCCCCCCAGACCACGTGGTCTAATAAAGTAATTTCTAGTTTTAAATTTTATCAAAAGTATCATTGTCATTGTTGTAAGTATTGTTACTCTCATAACTGTCCTTATTTTAACCAAAGAAAAGGCAGCCAAGCCTCCAGAATATCAAGGCTCCCATATGCCAGTTGAACCAGATAGCACCTGGAACTTGAGCTACTCCCAAGCATCATTGAAGTTGTTTGATTTAGGGGCGTCTGGGTGGCTCAGTGGTTGAGCATCTCTGCCTTTGGCTCAGGTCGTGATCCCAAGATCCTGCGATCGAGTCCCACATCAGGCTCCCACAGGAAGCCTGCTTCTCCCTCTGCCTAAGTCTCTGCCTCTCTTTCTGTGTCTCTCATGAATAAATAAAAAAAAATTAAAAAATAAATAAATAAATAAATAATCTTTAAAAAAAAGTTGTTTGATTTAATACTTCATGATAACTTCTGTACCACCTACCATGTTATTAGCATGAAGACAGGAAACATTGAAGTGGGAGACTTAGAGAAAGATAGAGGAGGACATTAAAATAAATACTTGGAGATTAAAAGAAATTAACCCTAAATTCTTCATCTGTATATTTATTTGTGCCACATATTTTTAAAGGGGCTAAGAAGCACAAAATGTTATTTATTAAGAAAAAAAAATGCCTTTGCAACATGGCAAACCAGGGTACCACAGCTTGAGAGACATTTGTACTTTGTTTTTCTTGTGGCTGTTTTAAGATCACAAAGCTGAGACATCTTCAGTGTCCAAAAGCTGCTACTAATTCTTACTTCTTTGCTTGACCCAGCCCTTTGGAAAGATAATGTGAAATCACTTTCATTATGGCCTATTAATCTTTAAAAGGCTGTGGTAGTTAACTTTCAAAGTGTTATCCCTTATAGATTAAAAGTAAAATACCTGTTTTCTGAAAGCCCTATTTGGATCTTTAACTATAAATGCAATTCCCTTTTTCACTATACTCATGCCTCCCATCAAAACCATTTAACAGCAGAAATTATTTTCTAAAGCAGAAGCACAACACATATTTCAACTCCCACGTAATAACACTGCAAAATTTGGTAACATCTGCATATTTTCTTTCCTAATTGCGATGTTAGTTTGAAGTTAATTATATGAAATTGATTTTTTTCCCAAGCACAACTTTCATATATCACATTTAGTTTAATTGGTACTTTGAATAATAAATTGTTTTTCAGCTAGAGCATATTGTTTGATATTGCTAATGAAATGATTTTAATGTTAAGCTTAGCTATTAGGAGGAATCTTCTCTCATCGCGTATTTTTAAATATGCTTCTACATTGTAGCATCCCAATTAACCTAGCTATTTTCCTCTTTTTTTTCAATCTTCAGGATAACATTATATAAAAACACTACAAAAAGTGGCAGGAAATAATGTCTTTAAAAGGATATAGTGTTAATTACATGTGAATCCTTCAGTTTCAACATATTTTTGTGCTGGTGTTGTTTAATAATATTTTTGCATTCTCTATTCTTAAGAGCCAAGCACATTACCAAACACATAGTGGCCCATTAGTAAACAGTGGTTGTGACTGCTAATAATAATGCCAATATGACCGTTAGATCATGTCTAGACCCTGCAGTATTCGATGGAGTGGCAAGGTTAACAGAAAGTCTACATCTCTAATAACCTGAAACTGGTATCACTTACATTCTTTCAAACTAACAAATATTTGTGGAATCTTATCTATGTATGCTCAGTACTGTTGCTATCTAAGTGGGCAAAGGCAAAAAAAAAATAATTGAAAGACTCAATTCCTTGTTGAATCATTGTATTGTCTACCTGAAATGAATATAACACTTGACTGTTAATTATATACTTGAATTAAAAAGTAAGTAAATAAATAATACTGACTTCTTGCCATGAAGGTCTTAACTACTTGGGGCTAAGGAATGGAATGATTGACAAGACTCCACAAATGATTTTCTCTCAATTATATGTTGTGTGGCATTACTCTCTGCATTGTGTAATATCAATAACTAAAACCATAAGAGATTAGAGGAAGTAAAATGCATTGCAAAGTTAAATCGATTTAGGTGTCCCTGTGATGGAGGTGGGACTTGAATTAGACATGGAAAAACTGTGAAAGATTTAAAATTGTGAGTGAGAGATTTCTTGTGTGAGCAACAGCATAAACAAAGACTCAACAGTAAGAAGAATCTTTGAAGTATTCAGAGGATGAGCCTGGCTGGGTCAGCTCAGAGTTTGTGCTGGGAAGCATTGAAAGATCATGTTGGATATACAACATGAAGTCATAGGGGTCAAGGAGTGCCAGGACCAAGCATTTGTAAAGTAATTTCTGAAGAAATTACTGAAGATTTCTGGATGAAGATGCATGCAGTACTTCACAAAAGCCTGACCCGAGGGTCAGCAACTCAATTAAGAAGTCAGGGGCTAAGAAACATATACAAGCACAAAAGAATATGGCCAAAAAAAAGTGGGCAGCTAACATGAAGCCTGGGTGACAAGAAAGTCCTAAAAATGAGGACTCGTCTGCTGAGGCATGAATCTCTTATAGTCTTCCTTTTGGGGCAGGAATTATTTCCAGGGTCCTAGGTGAATATAAGTGAATCTTATAATGGAAATGTGAATCAGCTAACCCAAATGGAATACCAGGGATTTGGACAAATCCTGATGTGAGCAAAGTGGAGTTTCAGTAAATGAAGAATGAATGAACCCAGAGTAAAGCCAGATTTAGATGGGACAGTTGAAAAATAATTGTAACAAATAAGGAGTGACCTTATGGGCGCTTAAAGGATAGTCATTGTGGGTGTGGAGAGGAATGATCCATATGAAAAACAGCTTTAAGTAGAAAGGTACCAATGAAAGGTGGCTCTGAGATTTCAAACCTGGGTAAACAGGCAATAGTTGTACCATGGACAGAAATACAAGAATTAGGAAGGAAAGTTCTACATGAAGACCTCAGCATTTCCTGATCCAGTAGAACTCAACTGGAAAGAACATTTATAGCACATGGCCAGTGGCCAAAATACTGAATAATTGGGACCGAATAAATCTCATGGAAGTCTTATGAGTGTGGCTTATTTTTTATTTGGCTTCTAACCATATCAGGGTTTTAGAGTAACTCTTGAAAAATGTGTTTACTTATGGGATTTTCAATAATTAGGGCACTACCTGTTGTTTAAATACTGACAGAAATATATTGAAATATTGGCAGGTAAACATCTTGGTATATGGGAATGGAAGTCAGTGTTTCAGTAGATAAGTAAATAGGTTACCTTGAAGTGATGCATTTGATAAAAGGTTTTCTCCAAATTAAAGCTTTCTTCTTTTTTATTATTTAGATATTATCTTCTTTAGATGCTGTCATCCAATGAACACACTGTCACTAAGGCAGATAAAATGAGTTGTAGCAATTATTGATCAGAATGAGTTAAAATAGCAATGTTCAGTCTGACAAAAATGGGGGGATCAAATGAGATGTTTAACAATAAGAGCCCTTTAATGTGTGTTTTTATTTATTACTTTATTTATCTAATATCTACTGTCAGAAACTTTGTTAAGTGCTTTATATACATTATTTGATTTCAGTAGCAAATAATCTCATGAAATACATACTTTTGTTATTTTCATTTTCCAGATAAGAAAACTGTCCAGAGAGGTTAAGTTACCTCAGATTATGCAAAATTAATTAGAGATAGAGCCAGGATTTCTAGTCAGGTCTAGTGTGATTCTGAAGCCCTTTATCCTTAAGTGCTATCCTATGCTTGTCTCTTCTGGCTTGAGCCTGCAAACAAGGTGATTATGAATTTTACTAAGCCTTCAGCACTCCACCCACAAAAGATATGATTTCTGTCATGTGTGAAGAAATAATGGTTCATTTATAAAATATGCCACTGAATGTTTAACAACCTATTTTCTCACATTTCTGGTGATGGATATCTTTATATTGTAGAACCAGATTCAGTGTAGTAAGAGCTTAAATTTCTAGAAGCTGCATATAAACACATTGCCTTTGTTGCTTTGCTGATTTCATTATGACCCAGATGCTCTGTGAATATCTGAAACTTAGGTTGGGGATGTGGAAAATTATTTTACAGTTGTTTTAGGAAAAAGCCAGGTATTAGCAAAAGAAAAATCTGAGACAGCAACCATATATATATATATATATATATATATATATATATATATAATATCTTTGAAAAATATTCTATTACACTGAATAAAATCTCTTAAAATAAATATGTCATATGTTTCCATACGTGAGTGACATTTTGTATGCACCTATTTCTAACTAAATTAATGTTTCTATAATAGACACAAAATGCATGCTAAAGAACTTAAAATTAACATTTTTATTCACCTATAAAACTAATGGAAAATTGTTTTTCTTTTTCTTTTGTCCTTCTCACAGCTGAATTTTTATTCCTCTTGTGGGGTGTTTATCTCTGCTATGCAGTGCGGACCGTCCCATCAGCATTTCATGAGCCACGATATATGGCTGTTGCAGTTCACAATGAGCTCATTATCTCTGCTATATTCCATACAATTAGGCAAGTGCTCTGTAGAGCTAGAAAATAACTGTTTTATTTTTCTGATGTGTTGCAGTTTAATTTAAATAGCAAAACTGGATAAAATACATAATGGAAAGATTTAGGAAAGATAGTGTTTTTGTGTTTTTAAGTTGATTTCTTTGTCACAGAAATGACAAATGAATATAGTTTTTTTTTTTTCAAAGATTGATTTATTTAGAAAGAGAGTGTGTGCACAGGATGGGGAGGTAAGGAGCAAAAGGAGAAGGAAAGAGAAACCCAAGCAGACTCAGCGCTGAGCATGGAGCCCAACATGCGGCTTGATCTCACAACCCTGAGCTCATGGCCTGAGCTGAAACCAGGAGTCAGACACCTAAGTGACTGTACTACTCAGGCATTCCTATAGTTTTTTGTTTTGTTTTGTTTTGTTTTGTTTTGTTTTAAAATGCTATTCTTAGCTTCTTCTGATGTTTCATTAATCACCTTTATTTGAAAATTAACTCAATGTATTACATTAAACCATTTATGGGAATGGCATTGAATACTGTTATGACATATAATGCTTTTTGTTCTGAAGATATAAAGCAACACGTGCTTACATTATAAAGTAGATGTAGATAAATTATCTATGTTTTCATTCATGTTTATATGCTAGTTTATACTTTTAAAATCTTCATAGTCAACTTATGTGTATTAATTCTGCTAAATTCAAAACTAAAAATCCACTCCAACCAGATGACTAGATTTTTGTGTGCAGTAAAGTTTTATCCCTGTCACATTTTAACAATGACTTTCTATTGTAAGGATGTACAGCCTGGCCCTCCATTTTTTGATAGTCCATATATTCCTGTAGTTAGTAAGTACAAAGGAAGAAGAAAGTAGCTTATGATAAGTGAACAAAATAAAATGTGTATGACTTACCTTCTGAGAATTTACATCTATTTAAATCTGAAAATGAAGTGAAAACCTGTAAGACCAAAAAAAGGAGTCCTATAATTTGAAAAGCAACAAAAAGATGTTATTCTGTTACTTGACATATATGAAAAGTTAGGACATACTTAAGAATGTAATCAGACATTTTCAATGTTTGTCTTTTCCCTCAGTAGAAAAACAGAGATTAATAATAGTGGGAGTCAGAGTGCAAAGGTGTGGATCTATGGAAGTTTTAGAAGATATTTATATTTCTCACTTTAGTCAATAATTACAATTATATCTTGCCCTTGTAGGAATAGATGATGCCAGAGAGCAGTTGAACCTTAGGCATACCTACACTTTTTTTAACTTTTAAGTAAGGAAAGAAGTATTTATGATTTGACAACTCTGGAAATTCCATCAAAGGGCCAGGAATCAAAAGAATTTGCCTCATTGCTTTGTCTTGCCCCCTCTCAATAGAGAGAGAAAAGAAAAAAAGAGGAAGGAAAGATGAGAAGTAAAATATGTTATAAATACGCAAAAAGAAGACTCTCAATTCTACTCAGACTAGAGCCAAAGAATGTGAGAGGGGATGCCCTCGGTCCTCACGGTAGTAAGCAACAGAGAATACTCTGTCACAGACAGAGCTCCACAGACTTTACAATTCTCCCAAATCACCTCCCAAGGAGAGTTGCATTTTTGTTGTTTCCAGAATATCAAACACATATGTTTCAAAATGTAACAAACGTGCTTCTCTAGAACCACTTATAAGTGAAATGCTATATTAACAAACCAATTAAAAAGTTACAAGCTTGCCAGAAGACTTATTACAGATAAGTTTAAATGTCTTCTGTTGTCAGAATGTGACCATGTCATGGAGAGGGTTTCCTACTTTTGCCCTACAACCAGCTGCTATATTTCTTAGAACCAAATTAATTGCCCAAGAAATTAAATCATTCAAAGCATTTATCTAAATTGATCTTTATCCTCTTCTACTTTAAGATTTACTCTGTTCCATTTTTATCATTAAGTATGTTTGTTCAGGTGTCCCTGGGTGGTTGGGCAGTTGGGCAGCTACCTTTGCCTCAGGTTGTGATCCCAGGACTTGGGATTGAGTCCTTGCATCAGGCTCCTGCGAAGAGCCTGCTTCTCCCTCTGCCTGTGTCTCTGCCTCTCTTTCTCTATGTCTCTCATGAAAAATAATCTTTTTAAAAAAAGTATGTTTTTTCAATGAAACTTAAACTCTCAACTTGCACAAATAGGAAAGGTAAAGTATTTTTTGAATAAACTTTTAAAAATTCCCAATAAGGCAATAGGTGGTTATTATAGATAAATCATAAAATGATAAAAAATAAACTCCCTAATCCAACCACCCAAAGATGATAAATACTCTTAACATATTAGGATATCACCTTTAGATGTTTTTATATGCTTTTTATATTTATGACACACTGTGTTGATAGCTCCTTTTTAGGAATGTCACAACACAGAGTGACATACTAAGAAGTCCTGCTTTAAGGAAAGCTACTCAACTTTGTTTAGCCATCACTTTCCAAACTATTCACCATAGTATCCTCCCAGCCGTCAGTTGACATCTGATAATAGCAGCCACTCTTCAGAAAATTCTCTTTTAATACTGGGGCAAGGTGAAGAAACATATGCTAAATATTCATTCAGAATAGCTTTCTTGAGGCACCTGGCTGGCTCAGTCAGGCAGTGTGTGACTCTTGATCTCAGGGTCATGAATTCAGGCCCCACACTGAGCACAGAGGTTGCTTTAAAAAAAAAATAGCTTTCTTAACTTGTGTAGGTCTTTGCTACAGAGCACTAGATAATCCATCAGCCTAGCTGGATTCACATAGACACAGCTCTGACTGAATTGTTCATGTTGAACCTAGAAGATTTTGTGTTAGTAGACATGCACTACTCACAAGACCAGTTTTCCTCAAGACAACTATGTACATTCCTCTAAGTTTTAAGCAGGGAGGACTTCCAATGGTAGCAGGGTGACCAGCCTTAGTAGGCTTTGGTGTTTTCTTAGGCTTGCCCTAAGAAAGGGGAAGCCCTATATTTTAGGTTCTAAATTTGACCTACCTCCCTACATAGACCAGACCCAATTTGATTGTGCCATGTTGGCTTCAAAGAATTATAGTATATATAAGCTAGCTACTCTGTCTTAGAAATACAATTGTATGGCCATAAAGGACCAGGGATGGAATTACAATTTAACACAGTAAATCTCCAGAACACTTATTTTAGGGAGATGAGCAGGGAGCAATAGGCAGTAATAATTAAAGAAATCAAGTATATATAATTTTTATTTACATATGGACTGAATTCATATGTGCTATGGTTTCAATGTTGATAAAGTTCAGGAATAAGAAGCAATAGCATAATAATATAAACCAACTGGGTCCATCTTTGTAATTTTTTAGTAGGATGAAATAATATTAAATAAGACATCCAGCATCAGGAAAAGTATTCTCTATCAATAAGCATATATATTTATTCTTGTTTGCATAAAATATAAAATTATATACATATTGTGTATACACATATACATACATAAATATATAAACTTGAAGCTATGACTACATATTTATATACAGATTTACTTTTATTCTCACCAAATTGCCAGATTGAACAAAAATAAACTAAAAGGATTAAGTCTAAAAGTCTAATAATGCAGAAGGCATTTTACCTAATCTGTTCTATAATCCTTTACTAAGCACAGAGCAAAGCTTTGGGAAAGTGCAAGACTTTTAAAAAGTTTGCTTTTATTCTTAAACCCAGTTTTTAAGTATTTCTGTGTTCTTGTTAGATCTATTTTTTAGAAGTTGAAACAATCTTCTAAAGAAAAATCTTTAAAATGACTGCAAAACCCAATTTTTTTCTTAAGATATTTCCACTCAGAACTGCAACCTAACAAACTCTAGCAGTATTTAAAAGCTGATTAATTTCAGGGCAATTGGTGTTGGTATATAGTAGTTCAAAATTACTTTTTGGAAGACTCATCATTTTAATTTAAAATACATGTAACCATTGTTCCTTCCAGATATTGTCAGGCTGGTTTAAAGTTCACTTGTGTTGGCATTTGAGATAGAAATTCCCAGTGCATGAGAACACTTTTAGAATGTAAATCCAAAAAAAAAAAAAAAGAATGTAAATCCATCTCCTTTGATATAACTGTCTGCTCCAGTACTGGAAATGGCCTCAGCAGATTGGGATTGTATAATTTTCCAGGTCACATTTTATATTGCTTCTATGCCTCAGTACTATGCCTGAGGTACTGTTACTTGTCACCGAGTATGATGATCCTATTTCAGTACTTAAAAAAAAAATAATCTCAACTGACATAGCACAGACTCTGTCAAAAGTGTGTCATCCCTGAACAGAGTGAATATTCATTTAATCATATTCAAGGCAGATATAAAGCCACTTTTTCTCACCAAGAAGTTAGAGAAGATGTTAATTCATAAAATTGTATTTAGTTATAGGTGAACTATCATGAGCTTTCTGTATTTCTATGTATATATTTTGTCCTTTTTATGTCTCCAAACACAGGGGAAACTATCTCTCTATTTTGAACAACCTTGAGCTTCCATTTTAGCTTGTTTTGGGGTTAGGGATAAGAAGACAGGATGGGAAAATGAGGAAGAAATCCCCTTGATGAAAATTTTAAGTATTAATAATACTAATTTACTTAGTAAATTTGTCATGAATATGGCATAATGCAGGTATAAAATTAGTTTCTCCTACTTTTATTTTTTTTTAAAGATTTTATTTATTATTCATGAGAGACACAGAGAGAAAGAGAGAGAGGCAGAGACACAGGCAGAGGGAGAGACAGGCTCCATGCAGGGAGCCCGATGTGGGACTCAATCCCTGGGATTGAAGGATTGTGCCCTGGGCTGAAGGTGGTGCTAAACAGCTGAGCCCCCCGGGCTGCCCAGTTTCTCCTACTTTTAGACTCATATGTTTGTTTTATGATTATATCATCAGCACTTTCTTAAGATGTTAGCTTTTCAAATATGATGATGTATATCACTGAATCAAAATGCTAATTCTCTTGGCACACCTGAGTGGCTCAGTTGGTTGAGCATCTGACTTTTGATTTCAACTCAGGTCATGATCTCAGGGTGGTGGGATGAGCCCAGCTCTGCACTCAGCGGGGAATCTACTTCTCTCTCTCTTTCCCTCTCCATCTGCCCCTCCTACGGCTCCCATTCTCTCTTTTTCTCAAATAAATAAATAAATCTTTTTAAAAAATGCTAATTGTCTAATTCCAAACACAATAAAATCTCATATTTAGCTTTTGTGGATAAACAGTGAATGGGAAAAAATTAAAAGAATATGGTTGCAAAATGAAATAAAATAAAAGCATCACTGGATAGTTTCTAGAAAATAATGAGTCCTTAAAACCTGAGTTTTAGTTTTTACATATACCTATTGATTTATGAAAATATTCCAAAATCACCAAGGTAGATACCAGTACTGAATTTTTCCTATACATATTTCCTGCAGGACTATCCTAGAACACAATTTTATAAATTCCTCAGCAGGATAAGACTTTAAATTATTTTAAAACAATTTGATACTTCACAACAGCTAAAATTTTTATTTTAAAAGATGTGTTTTACAAACCATTAGTATATTCATTTTACCCACTGCATTATCATTTAAGCCTCTGAGGTTGTTCACAAAGCAAAAAAACAAAAAACAAAAAACAAAAACAAAAACCCTACTCCTTTTTTTCTTGGATTTTTTTCTTCATTAATGTTTTCAAATGAAAAAGATTGGAATCAAGAGTTATGTGGCTGTGTCTTATAACCCAAATTTGCCTGAAACCACCAGTTTGTGAATCTGTTCTTTTGAATTCACATGTTTTCACTGCTTTTACTTTAGACATTCACTTTATAGACAAAATAACTATTCCAGGAAATGGTTAGCACATTATATATCTATATGCTATCTTTCTCACTACTTATAACTTAGAATAATAAATAACAAAGAGTTCATATCTTATGTATCCAAACAGGGTTACTTAAGGCTTTATTCTTCGGTGATGAAAATGTATGCCACAGAAACAGCAATACAACATTTTCCATGCTTGCTTGTTTTTTTAATACACTGAGGAAAAAAGGTCCCGATTATCCTAGTGGTTTAAATAGAAGTCTTGTTGGATTACTAATGTGGTGAATTCTCATTTCAGATTCGTTCTTGCCTCAAGACTTCAGTCTGACTGGATGCTAATGCTGTATTTTGCACATACTCATTTGACTGTGACAGTCACCATTGGGTTGCTTTTGATTCCAAAGGTATTCCTTTAAAATTACTTTTCTCTTGCAAGACAGCTTTTTTACATAATCATGGAGTTGTTTCTCCTTTAAAAAATACCTGTCAATATAGGGAAAGGAGGCTGTGGAGATTTGCTTGACACTCTAAAATGTTTTTAAAGCTCGCTCTTCAGGGAACTAGATGTCTCTTTTCGGATTTATTGAACATCCCATATAATTTTTAAATACTTCTGTTTGTGCAAAACTCATCATCTGATTCAGTTCTTTCTCAAATATTTTTATATCCAGTTTTAATTATAGGTTCAAGGTAACTTTTATTGTAGCTGTAACATCAAAATTATTTTTAAAGAGAATTATCCTATTCTAAGAATCTTCTTGTTTAGATTTACATTCAGGAAGCATTGTGTTGTAAACATTCAGAGAATTTTTATATAAATAATAATTATATTGTGTACAGAAGAATCTTGCTTTATAATGATGGATTCTGACAAAGACTTATCTAGACAGCATACCAGTGTCGGGGGGAATGGGCCGGCACTCAGAATACAGGGATTATGAGTATGTGCCCCACCTACAATAGCTATGCGGTATGATGTTAGCTAAGACTTTTCATCTCTCTAAGTTTCAGTTTCTTCACCTATTACATGATAGCAATAGAGCTGCTTCCAATGAAATAATATATATCAGAGTGTGGGGGGGAAAGCATACAAGTTATAGCATTATTATTATTTTTCTCTTTTACATATAGAAAAAAAGTGTTAGGACATCATGTATCTGTATTAGTAGCACACAATATAATATGAGCACAGCTGAGGCAAGAATTATAATTGCTTTTAGTTCACTTCTGGCTTTACCTTCTCTCACAAGCAAAACATAGAAATTCAGCCTGATTGAAAGGGCAAACAAATGTAATCAGAGCAAAATGCCTGCTTTCTTCCTTACTTGAATTACACCAGATAGCCACAGTCTTCATGGATTAGTCTGTTACTGCAGTTTATCTTATCCATTTTCATACTTTGCATTACATGGTTACATTTTTATTAGATGGCTGTACTGTGTACTCACACTGTTCATTCAATTCTAAGAACTGAAAACACATTTATACAAAAAAGGTTTGTACATGAATGTTCCTAGCAACACTATTCATAATAGCTAAAAAGTGGAAGCAACCTAAATGTCCATCAACTGATTACTGTAGAAACACAATGTGGTGTTATCTCTACCATGTAACTCTATCCAGTAATAAGAAGGAATAAAGCACTGATACACGCTACAAACTTGTACAGACCTCAGAATCATTATGCCAAGTGAGAGAAGGTAGACACAAAAGGCTACATCTTGTGTGATTCTATTGATATGAAACGTCCAGAACAGGCAACTCTGTTGAGACAGAAGGTAGATTAATGGTTGCCCCTAGCCAAGAGGAGAAACAGAAGTGACTGCTTCATGGATTTAAGGTTCTTTTGGGGGTGATGAAAATATGCTGGAATTAGATAGTGGTGATGCTTACACAGCACTGTGAATATAGAAAAAAGCACTCAATTGTACAATTGAAATTTGAGAATTTTATCGTATGTGAATTATATCTCACCTTCAGATAATTTAACAAAACCACTGAGGGGCTTTGCTAAGCACTGTTCTATATCCTGGAATAAGAATAGTGAACAGGTAATGTGCTTTCATGGTGCTTCTATTGTGGAGAAGGGGGAAACAGGACAAAATAAATAAATAAGCTAAATATTTAAAATGCTATTTTAGATATAAGTACTGAGGACAAATAGTAAAGCAGAAAATGGACAATATCTGACAAGGCAGTGTTTCTTAAACTCATGATCATCTCTAAGACTATGCTCAAGAAAACCAATTCCACTCTTACAAATAACTTCTGGGTGGTTTCCTAGTAGCATGTGAGAATTTGGAGGGCAGGGACACTGTTTATTCATATTTATAGCCTTAAATTCCTGATGCATGTCAGATCCACACATGTATGTGGACACTGTTTATTCATATTTATAGTCTTAAATTCCTGATGCATGTCAGATTCACACATGTATCCACATGTATGAAGGACAGATTCATCCGTTTCTGTCGTTTCTCAGTCAGTCCCAATTACAAAACATTCGTGATTCCTTACATAGGGAATTGCTGTTTCACATGCTGTATTAATGTTCACCTGCCCACCTAAGTATTTTAACAAACACTGACATTAAAATAGCTTTGTATCATGAAAGTGATCTGTAAGTTTTTTAAAGGAATATTTGACCTGATGACAAGCTGAGAGAAGAGAACCCATGTTCCCTAAGCCATTCTCTCAATTTTCATAGGACAGTCACTCGGTTTATATATTGTGTGAAGGGGCTGAATTGTTTTTATTCTCCCTGCTTTCCATCATTTACCTAATTCATTCTTCATGTCTCCATTTGATGAAGAACAGAGATAGCAAGAGTACATGAAACCGAAAGATATCAAAAGACCATGTGAAAATCATAAAAATATCTCAAAATATGACGAAGGAGGAACTTGAGAATACTGAGTTTGAGAAAAAAATACTGTAATTTTGGTGAACCTTTGAATTTTAAACTTCGATATCATCACTTTAGGCTGAGAGAGCACTGTGCTCCAGAGAGCTTCAGGGATTTGTTTCATATCTGACTGTCAATGCAACTGATGCTGGAATTCAGATCTGTCCCCTGAGTCTTAGAAGCAACTTTTTTTGAGCTGTGTGTAGAAGACTGAAAAGCACTGCCTGTGATCAGGGCTAGTCGTACCCCTGGATGAAATATAGCCTCATCCATGTGAAGCAAAATGATCAACACAAGGTAGACCCCACTGCTCAAAAATATATTTCCATCCAGCTGTCGGTGGGTCTTGGACAACATTTGTTTGGATTTTTCTACTTATTTCACTTTCAAAATGCAAGTATCACTGAAGAAAAGTAATGTCAGTGAACACTGGAAGCCTAGAGAAAAGACAAGGATGAAAATAGAAGTCAGAGAAGCAACCACGTATTAATATTGCCCCAGAGCTCTAGATGTAACATGAAAAGCAAAACCAAATATAGCATCAGATCTTTTATAAAGAGTTCAGTAAATAAGTTTATCGAAGCTGAAGAAATGATATTAACATGAGAACCTTTAGAAAATGATTCAGCTGTGTCTGCTAGTGGGTTAATGTCTGCAGCTCATATTTTGTCTCTGTTGCAGTTTTCACATTCAAGCAATAACCCCCGAGATGACATTGCTACAGAAGCATATGAAGATGAGCTAGACCTGGGTAGGTCTGGGTCCTACCTGAACAGCAGCATCAACTCTGCGTGGAGTGAGCACAGCTTGGACCCAGAGGACATTCGGGTAACACCAGTATTTCAACCTTCCTACTTCAGGCTCACCCCATATACACGGGCAAGCACGTGTGGGCTGATGCAAACATATGCTCACCTTTGTGCACACATGAGCCAGAGAGAAAAAGAGAGGGGGCGGGGAACGTGTATGTGTGTGTGTGTGTGTGTGTATAAGAACTGAAGACATCTAATTTAAAGTTAACCCAGTTCTAAAACATACGTCATGGTAGAAATTACACAAGCTGATCTTGATAGTCTCAACTGACTTCTTAGTAGTCATAATGACAAAGTGGTGATACATGTTCCCTACTACAGTTTATGACATTTTGCTGACGAGAAGGTAGGATAGATCTGTGAGTAGAGAGCCCAGAGTACTGAAAGAAATCTGAGACAGTATATCAGCATTTGGAGTAAGAAGCTGCTTTTAGTAATTGACAGTCTATTGTCCCCCAAACCTAATCCAACATTAGAGGTAATTTTATCAATGGCTACATGATGCTTGCAGTATTGTTTAGGGATATGATTTGTCAGTAGACGATATGCTGTGTTTTGTCATGGTCCTGGTCAAGTCTGGTGCACACAATTTGTTAAGTCCAAAGGGCTCGTTCCATAAAACAAGGGTAGAATGCATGTGTTCATGTCTTAAATTTCAGACTCTATGTGAAACAGAACACAAATTAATCAGAAAGTAAGAATGAGGAGAAAGTGAGTGAGTACACATAGTATGAAAAGCTGTAGAGCAGTTTCCCTAAAGAGCTCAAGCTCAGTAACTTCAAACTACATTTAGTAATACTATCTGGCTGAACCGCTAAGTTCCACATCTCTGTGAATTTGCTCTTGTTCTGGCAGGATGAGCTAAAGAAACTCTATGCCCAGTTGGAAATATATAAAAGGAAGAAGATGATTACAAATAACCCTCACCTCCAGAAAAAGCGGTGCTCCAAGAAGGGCTTAGGCCGTTCCATCATGAGGCGTATAACCGAGATCCCAGAGACGGTTAGCAGGCAGTGTTCCAAAGAGGACAAGGAAGTCACAGACCACAGCACAGCCAAAAGCACTGCCCTGGCCAGGAAGAACCCACAAGAATCTTCAGGTAACACCGGGAAGCCCAAAGAAGAGTCCCTGAAAAACCGAGTCTTCTCGCTAAAGAAATCACACAGCACTTATGATCATGTGAGGGAGCACACGGAAGAGTCCAACAGTTTACCAGTGGAAAGCCAAGATGAGGAGGCTACAGAACATTCCACACTAGAGTCTCTGTCAAGTAAAAAACTAACACAAAAACTGAAAGAAAACAGTGAGGCCGAGTCCACAGAGTCTGTGCCTTTGGTGTGTAAGTCAGCAAGTGCACACAATCTCAGCTCAGAGAAGAAGCCAGGCCACCCCCGAACATCGATGTTGCAAAAGTCTCTCAGTGTCATCGCAAGCGCCAAGGAGAAGACTCTTGGATTAGCTGGGAAAACTCAAACATCAGGCATGGAAGAACGTGCTAAAGCCCAGAAACCAAAAGATAAAGAAACAAATAGAAAATACTCAAATTCAGATAATGCAGAGACTAATGATTCTGCCCCCCAAAACTCCAATCATTTGGAAGAGCCAAGAAAACCTCAGAAATCTGGGATTATGAAGCAACAACGGGTCAACCCGGCCACTGCCAATTCTGACATGAGCCCGGGCACCCCCCAGACGAAGAACAACTTTGACATTGGGGAAGTGTGCCCTTGGGAGATTTATGACCTGGCCCCCGGTCCTGTGCCTTCAGAATCAAAAGTTCAAAAACACGTATCTATTGCAGCTTCTGAAATGGAGAAAAACCCAACTTTTTCCTTAAAGGAGAAGTCTCATCAGAAGCCCAAGGCAGCTGAACTGTGTCAGCAAACCAATCAGAAGAGCATAGACAAGGCTGAGGTGTGCCCTTGGAAGAGCCAAGGCCAGCCTGGTTTTGAAGATGAGAAGCATCTGATTCCCAAGACTCAAGTTCCCACAGGGAGAGCCAGAGAGGAGAATGGCAATCAGCATTATGCAGCCAATGTGTGTGCCGGGCAGTATGAAGAACTGCCCCCCAAAGCTATAGCATCAAAAGTCGAGAATGAAAATCTCAACCAAACAGGAGACCAGGAGAAAAAGACATCCTCCCCTGAGGAAAATGTGCCTGGCTCCTATAACTCAAGTAATAACTTTCGGCAGCCTTTAACATCACGAGCTGAGGTGTGTCCCTGGGAGTTTGAGACCCCAAATCAACCAAATGCTGAAAGAAGTGTAGCTTTACCTGCCTCTTCCACTTTAAGTGCAAATAAAATAGCGGGGCCTCGGAAATGAGAGGTCTGGGGTCCATTTAAAGTGTACCATCCCCAGAAAGAAAAGGAGAAGGAAGAAACCCTGAATTCGACAAAAATAAGAGGATCAAAGATTCCCAAGGAGTGTTTGTCAGGAAACGTGAAAGGCCCAGGTTGAAGAAGACCGGGAGGGCAGAGGGACACCACAATGGAAGACAGACTGGCCAAGAGAAATCTTTCCCCTGGGGACACCAGGGGAGTCCTTACATTTATGTATGTTTAGGGGGAGTAGCCCTCACTGTCTGCCCCTGATCAGTATTGACCCATGGCACTTTGAAGACCCTAAACAAGGCAGACCAGAAGACACGGAAGAGGTACAACATTTTGCAAAGAAGGTATGGACATGGATGACCGAAATTCTAAGTAGCTAACTGAACTTACTTTACCTATTTAACCTTGATAGCACCGCTAACTTAATGCATCCCAAAAATACCTTTTATATTAATGATTGCTCTCATTTTCTTATAAATGTATGTTTCAGTACATTGTTGTGTCTCGTATTCAAGCATTCCAGATTGTATAATTTTTGCAAATAACTTTGATATTATATGACACAACACATTTATGCAATCCCGCAGCTACTCAATTGTTATTGCAAGTTACAGATTACCTGCTATCTATCAACTTTAGTTGGTTCTTGAAGTACAGTAAGCTTTCTCTGGCTTGGGAAGCCATAACCGTTATGATAAAATCTTTTAGTTTTGGCTGTGGTTTATATATTGTGAATTTGGATTTGATTCTATTGTTTCACATCATGGTTTGTTATACTGTCTTAATCAGGGTTTTTTATACAAGTTGAGTTACTTGTTTTGCACTTCTTGTTAGGACTCCGAGAGCAAGTGGTCCTACTTAGTCATATGTCTCAATAAAGGACAACTTACCTATTGTTTGTTCAGAGTCAGAGACAGGTAACACCTTCATTCCAATTTATTGTCCCTTTTAACTCTCAGTATTTCATACTTAGCATTTCGCAAGGAAGAAGCTAAGAGTGAGAAAAATATACTGCACATTATTATTACCACTGAAAAGGGAAGACTCTAGGAATGACATGAGAATTAACTACAGTACTGCAGAGCCAGGGAATTTGCCTTTCAAAACAGACAGAAAGGGAGCTACTGATAGCACTTTCAAGGGAGTATTTTTTTAGAGAAAAATTATGATAGCATCAAGATCATTGTATGGATATATTTTTATTATGCATACTGAATATATATTTTAAATTACCTTAAACTACTTATTCTCATAAACTCTTATTCATTGCTTCAGCTAGTGGTAACACTTGCTGGGCCTAAATCCCAAAGAGCTTTATAACGTGATTTTTTCAAAGCCTATAAGGTGGTATGGGTTCTCCATTCTCCCAAGCACTGGAAAATTTACAGGTCCTGCAAATTGCTATTTTGAGCCACCTGGCTCAAAATTTAGAAATGCAGGGTTTCTTTGCAAACCAAAACAGCCCCCAAAGCAAAATTTGTAAAATGTACTGCCTTCCACACTGATCACTTGGCATGAGAATCCAAAGCTGCTGACTTAGCCCTACTGAAGTGATCATGCAAAGAGATTCCATTCCAAAGCTCAGTCTCATTTCATTTAAAGATGAATCACTTAAAAATAGAATGCAGACTTCCCTTTCTCTCATGCTAAATGCTGAAGTATCAATGGCTTATTTGGCCAGGACATTTCCAGCCTAACTGCTCTTCATGTGCAGCAAGGAGAACATGCCAGGAAGATAAAAGATGAAAAAAGAGAATCAGAAGGTAGATACAGGCCTGTTCTAGGAGAGTATCATTCTCAGTGGAAGGTATAAACTAGGACTTCTCCTTATTCATCATCAAAATTTTCTCAACAATTTTTATTCAGGAATAAGTGAGCACATCACCATTTTGCAAAGCTGTGCATCCATCTTCCTCACCCATTCGTTTGCTTTGTGCATATTACTCAGGTTGGTGGGGTAGGTGTGAAGAGATGGAAAAATTCTATTTTTCTGTCTTTCCTTAATTTATTTCCTTCTTCTCTTCCTTTTTAGTCAAAGCCTTTCTATTTGGTACCTTGGAACATAACTTTGAGGTATATTTGTGAACTTGGTTTGGAATTTCCAGGCCCACCTACTTGTTTCATTTTTGTTCAAGGTCTGTTAGCACTTTATTCACTTTTTGAGAAATAAGCAGTCAAGCCTCGGTGACTTTTTATTGCACTTCAGGATGATCCTGCTAGAGATGTGGCTTAAAGAAGACTTGCCAAATTATACCTTAGTGACATTCTACAGTCCATAGATTTTTCTCCACCAGCATCAATCAGTGAGAGTGCCTCGGGTCTTTCCTAGAGTTTCATTGCCATTAGTTATCACCAAGAGAAGTTTAAATCTACAATTTTTGAGGTTTTTTTCCTAGATCAATAACAATAAGAAAGTGAATAAACACTGTTAAGGTCACAAACATTTGCTAGGTTGTCCTTCTCAATGCATGTGCAGGCTGCATCCTGTCCTTGTTTTTAAGCCAGGGTTTATAAATAAGTAGATTTATACCAATCTTAATAGAACTGTATATTTTATGCAAGAATTAAATGCTTTACAACATGAATTATAACTCAGCCCATTGTAAACTTTGGTGGCAATATGGATTTGAAACACGACAGTTCTCTTGTATTTGCTTCCTAGGTTTCTGCATGCAAGTGGTGACAGGTAGGACTGAGAAACACTGCCTTTTGACTTCTAGCATTTAGCAACCGAGAGTTGTAGAGTCAATAAAGCTGTAAGTCTCTTCACTTAATCTGTGGTTCTTCTGAAACTATTATCTGAAACCTACAGCATCCCACCATGAAAAATATTTGGTAAATTTATGTTGTGATGTGTTACAGCATGTAAATAATTATAACTTATCTGCAATAAAACATATTTATATGAAAGTGATTTATGGTGTTTTGTGTATCTATCAAAAATCAAATTTATTTCACCTAAGCCAACTTCAGAGGGAATCCCATGTATCTTTGACCTCATATCCCTGTCTACAGAAATGTGTGATTAGCCGAATGTGGCCTCAAACATACAGGTCATCATTTGGAGCCAGTAAAACCTGTTAGGACTAGTGATTTTGATTTAAGAAAGCTCTGTCCAGGGCAGCCCCGCTGGCTCAGCGGTTTAGCGCCACCTTCAGCCTGTGGTGTGATCCTGGAGACCCGGGATCAAGTCCCACATTGGGCTCCCTGCATGGAGCCTGCTTCTCCCCTCTCATGAATAAATAAATAAAATCTTTTTTTTAAAAAAAAAAGGAAAGCTCTGTCCAAATAGGAAGTAATTCAGTTACCTTTTTTAATTTACTGAACATATATAGACAATTTGCTAAGCAATGATGCTGATCTTTAGATAAACAAGAGCTCCAATATCCAATATGCACTATCTAGTCACTGCTATAGTAATACAGAGGGGAGCCCCACTAATTCATGGAGTCAGGAGAGGCTTAAGAGTGAGGGCAAGCTCCCAAGGCTGAAATTCTGCAAGGCATCAGTTATGAACGGGAAAAGGTATAAGGCTGGAAAGGTAATTGTGCCCAGCCTTGCATGCCATGCTTCAGATTAGCTACAGCCTTCTCCTGCAGTACTGGGAACTATCAAAAAGCAGTAAACTGGATCATAATCAAGTCATGGAATAGAAGGATCATTTGAGGAGCAGCCCAGGAATGGACTGAGGTGGGAGGAGACTGCAGGCAGCTAGATTAGCTAGCCAGCACAAGACTCAAGGGAAGGGTGAGGACCTAAAAAGGAGAGGGAGAGATTATTGGGTTTTTTTTTTTAGATTTTTTTTTATTCATTTATCCATGAGAGACACAGAAAGAGAGAGAGAGAGAGAGAGAGAGAGAGAGAGAGGCAGAGACACAGGCAGAGGGAGAAGCAGGCTCCATGCAGGGAGCCTGACATGGGACTTGATCCCGAGTCTCCAGGATCACGCCCTGGGCTGAAGGCAGCGCTAAACTGCTGAGCCACCCGGGCTGCCCTATTGTAGGGTTTTTTTGTTTTGTTTTGTTTTTAAGATTTTATGTATTCATAAGAGACACAGGGAGAGAGGCAGAGACATAGGCAGAGGGAAAAGCAGGCTCCCTGCAAGGACCCCAATTGCAGGACTCCATCCCAGGAACCCAGGATCATGACCTGAGCCAAAGGTAGACACTCAACCACTGAGCCACACAGGGACCCCGATTATTGGTTATTTTATCAAACTAGCAACTTCATATTGGTTTGGTGTTCCTATTATACAAGGTCAGAAAATCAGTCACAGATAACTATATCAACTATAAATGCTCCTTCTGAGTTTATGGACATTTTGAATAGTTTCAAAAATTTTAAAAGCCCCTTCTGAAAATCTGTAGACCAGGAGGTCACCCGTTCATGAAAAAAGCTATGGAAAAGAATACCAAAGTCATGCTATGAGAAACCTTGATATTAAACCAGGCTGGGAAAAGAGCAAAGGACCTGCTGTAGTATGGTCTTAACTTCCCCTGTGGGAGTGTGTGGGCAGCTCTCGGAAGCAGAGCAGCAGATGACGCAAGGGGGCAGAAGAGAGAGCTGGCTGCACCTTCTCTCTGCGTTCACCTTTCCTGGAACCAAGTCGCTGGGAATGCCCTTCCCCATCTCTTCACACCATGTGTGTCCTATATCCTCCATTCTCTTGGTACTTACACATAAAATCAGTGGTCTGAGTCCTTTGACCACAAAAGGCTAAGACAAAAGCAGCTGACGATTAATAGGCCATGAAGGTCAAGTCTACGTTCTTTGTCCTATGATAAGGCTCAGTGTGGGAATTGTTTAGCCAATGGCTATATTATTTTCATACAGATGCATAGTGCTAGGCAACGTTTCTTTGTTCTAAATTTAGAACTTTTGGTTAAAAAATGCCTAAGGGAAATATTTCCATCAGAAATGGCTTTTATCACACAAGTAATAACGTAAGCCTGATGTTCTAAAACAATGCAAGTTGGTTAAGATTTCCTTTATTATTTCAACAGATTCCATCCTTTTTCCCCTGAATAGTTAAAAATACAGAAATAATATATTTCTAATATTGGTTATTTTCTATTTAAATACTTGTTTCTTGGAAAGGACACAAAGTCCAAGCACATTGTATTACTTCAATATTAACTGGTTAGAAGGCAGATGATGAAATGTATGATTGGTTTTTAACTTCCTTCTCTTCCTCTGTGATGTGAAAATAGTACTTTGTCAGAAATAAAACTGATCAAATGAAAATGGAAAATGAGGGATAAATATAGAAAAAGTTCTTTGCATAAGAGGTCACATTCCTGGAAAGAAAAATAAATTAAATATGCAAACAGAAAAGTTCATGACAGGTCTTCTAGAACATACTCCCATTTCAATTCAAACAGCAGTAGGAAAAGAAGGAAAATGCCCTCTTTTGAGCACATAAGAGAAATATGCATAGTTTTTCCTCAAACATACCATGGGATTTTATTCTTCTGTGCCTTTTGACTTGCTATTTGGTCCATCTGAAATTTTTTCCCTCCTTCTTTTTCCTGTCAACCTTATGTATGCTTCAATACTAGTGCAATCATATAATGTATTGTCCAAAGAAAACCTTTAAGCATGAAAGGGTGATATAATTGTGTGTGGATAATGATATAAACTAGAACTGACCCAAGAAACCCAGGGTGTGTTCCCGTGTTTACCCTGTTCAAGGAGCAGCACAAACACCCCACTCCCTGTGTGCAGAGCCTTTCCTAATGCCCCAAATCAGAATGAATTCCTCCTTCCTCTATGCTCACCTTAGGAATTTGCTTAAGTCTGTGATTGCATTGACTCATAATTTAGCTAGTTATACATTTCTCTGAATTTTCTGCTAAATTAAGAGCTCTTTGAGAGCAAGGAATTTTTTTATTCATTTATATGTCCCCAACTTCAAGCAGTGTATTTTTCTCTGAACTCAATAAATATTTGCAAAATTGAAATTTTGATTACTAATCGTTGTCCAAAATACACTTGGAAAGCCAGAAAAATTCAGGAGTTGGATGACAACATGCTGCAAAATTTCTCAAATATTGAATACTAACCAGTCTTCCCTCTAC